TAAACAGGGACACACAAAATCAACCAAGTTACCATAAAAACAGCCCAAACTTGCCAAATATGGAGTACCAGCTGTGTGCCAGGCAAATCATAATTTTTATGATACGTCCATTTTAACAACCCTATGAGGAAACTGCCTCTCACTGAAGTTAGAAAAAGTGGCCGTGCTGACATAGGAAGGGGCAGAGCAAGTGTCCTGCCACCTTTTCCGAAGTCTGCAGTCTCCCATCACCCTGCAAGGCATCATCGCTGGGCCAGGGCGGGGGTGGTGAACTTTAGCATAAGGAGAGGAAACTTTCACAATTATAACGATCATTTGCAGTGACTACAGCTTTAAAACGTGGGATGTGCGCTCCCACAGAGAAATGACCTCCCTGTGCGAGAGGCGTCCAGCAGAGGCGCTTTAGAAGGGATTCCTACTCCGGTAGGAGCTACACAAGGCATCCCCCCCACCCTGAGACGAGGTACGAGAGACCAGGAAGTGCCAACAAGAGATGCGGTACAGTGCGAAGTCAATATGCAACCCAGAAACAAACTCGGTGTTTTCAAGGCTGGATACTGGGCAGAAGGGAGGCCTTGGCCACCCAGTCCCAGAGCACAAGCCCACCTCTTGGACTCCTACCCCGACTCACACTTCCTTGTCTGTCCCCTGTGCGGGAGGAGGCATTGGCACCTGGCCTGGGCAGAGGGTCGTAGGGATGTGGCAGCCCCTTTATACGTCCCAGGGGCCGCCCATTCACCGCGGCCTTTCCCTTTTTTGAGAAGTGGGAGCTTGCTGGGTCTGTTCCCACCAACAGTGTTCCCGTCCAGGGAGCTTAAAATAGTGCCTCTTGGCTGGGGCTCTGGAGTGAGCAGTGAGGCAGGCATTTGTGCAAATATGGGCCTGGGAGAAGGACTCTTACCCAGGAGGGGAGAGGGAGGGGTGGGCAGCATGGCAGGAGAGCCAAGACCTCCTGCGGAGGATGCGCCCTCCTGGCCACAGACCCCGTCCGCCTCGCAGCAGAGGCGCCGGCTAGTCTCCTCCTGCCTCCCCAGCCCCTTACTGGGTCCGCTCGGACTGGACTTTAGACTGAATCCCGCAGGTCGCCCTGGCCCAGCCGATGTTCCTGGGTGGGCCTGCTGGGCACAGGAGCCTCTGCATTCTTCTGCTGGTTTTATGCTTGTCCCCACCTAACAATGTCCTTCCTACCTAGGAACACTCCAGAAATATCCCTGAAGGTCCAAGTCAACATTTGTTTTAACAATAGCAGTGACAATTGGGGCCGCCATTCACAGAGTGCTTGCTTTTGTCAGGCACTCTGCTAAGTGCTTCACCTGCATTATTTCATCTGATCCTCACAACAATCCGTTGAGGGCCGAGTTATTTTTATCTCCACTGTGCAGAAGAAACTCAGGCTCAGAGAAGTCAAGTCACTTTCCCGAGGCCACACAGTTGTGACCTGGTAGAGGCAGGATGAAAACTCAAGTCTGTCACCCTCTGGAGTCTGAACTAGCCTGTGGGCTGCACCGCCTCTTCTGGGTCCCCGCTGCTCTGGTCTCCCATTTTCCATCCCAGGATGATCATCCTGGGGGACAGACCACCGGTTTGATTTAATGCATGGAATAGTGAAGGCCTACTATGTGTCAGGGACATTGCTGGCTGCCATGCTCACACCCAGGGAGTTCTCAGGTCCCTTTAAGGACTCTTGTTCCATCTTACAGTCAGGATATTCTACAGTCGGGATAAAATCAGGTGGATTTAATGAAACAATGCACACAAAGGACTTAGCACAATGCCTGCCAGTCAGTAAGTAGATATTACTATTATTAATTGTTATTTTCTGAAAATTACTGTGTCCAGGGGTCAAATGCCTAGGGCCTAGCACACAGTAGGTGCTCCAAGTGAAGGGAGTCACCCACCAGCAGACAGAAGCCCCCGCACTATCCCTCACCCTGGCGCCCCCACTCCTGACCGGCTGTGCCATTCCTTCTCTGCTGAGGACGGTGTCCTGGGCACTGGTCCTCAGTAACAGTAGGGCCACTGGGGCAGCCAGGGGTGGGCACAGGACCCTCATTTCCAGCCCCAGGGCCCATTCCAGAGAAAAGAGGTGGCTGTGTGGAGGTTCCATCAGGGTGTGCGCAGCTCTCCAGGGGTGTCTGGTGGTGCCACCTGGTGGCGAGCACAGCGCTTCTCCTGGTCAGGCCTGCAGCCAGGGTTCTGGTGGCTCTGAGTGCCACCACCCTCTGCCCTTTGCTCTCCAGCCCGTCCGCCCCCTCCCTCATTCACATGCACAGACAACCTCCCCTGTGTAAAGGCTTACGGACCCCAACTCTGCTGTGGGGCAGAGGCCGCTGAAGTCTAAGTCACTACGCCGTATCTCTCTCCGGCCTGGCTCTGACCCGTGGGGTTGGGTCCCTCTGGAGTCTGCCAGGGTTCACACTTGGCAAATCCCTGAAGGCAGGTGGCCCTCCAGTGGTTTCTTGAAATCAAGGCTGGAGGAAGGGGCCTCTTTCCTGGCCTGAGCTGGCCAGGAACAGGAAACATCATGATGGTCACTGGGCCCATCCTTGACTCCCTGTGGCACCTGCTTGGGCACAGGCCGGGGGTCTCCAGAAGGACTGGCCCGGCTTCTGGGCCCCCTCCAGACCAGCACAGAGGCCCAGCCGGGCCCAGAGCTGTGTGTATAACATTTTGGGAAGAGTAGTAATAATTAGGAGACTGTGTTGTGCTCTAGCCTTACCCAGCCCTGGCACTAACATGCTGTATGAGCCTGGGTGAGGCCTGACCCGCCCTGGGCATTGGTCACCTTGTGGTAAAACAGGGATGGGGTAGGGGAGTGAGCACAATGATGGGGGACAACCGCTGCGGCTCCTGGACTTGCTATTATCGTTGAAGTGCAGACCCCAGGCCGGCTGCGTCAGAATTCCAGGGCCAGGGCTGCGGAATCTCTGTCAGTAAGCACTGAGGCTCGGAGCTGGGGCAGCTATCACTCCTGCCTGGGAGACAGGAACGATGAGGACAGTGCGGTGGCTTCAGGGGTCCTGAGAAGCAGAGGGACCCCCCACAGTCTGGCCACCTTCTTGAATTTCCCTGCCTTTCTGTGAGGGTTGGGAGGGGGTCACCCAGCTGCCTGTCTGTCAGACCCACTGCCCGCCACTGCAGAGGGGTAGGATGCACAGCACCCCACCAGGCTGCCCCCTTCCTCCTCCCAGTCACTCTGGCTGTTTCGCTGGTTCAAAGGACAGTGGCAGGGGGGCTGGGCCAGCCTGGGGTGGGAGTGGGGGCCCTCGTTGCCTGAGGAGGTATTTTCAGAGTCCCCCTCCCTCCGGAGTTTCCAGCGATAGAATGGAGCCCTGTCTAGTATTTGACCAAATACGGTGGTATCTCTCGATGAGCTCAAGCCTCGGCCAGCCTCTCAGTTATGCTGTGGAAACCTGCCCTGGACAGATTAATCTTGTGACATTCAGGAGTGCCTTGCACCCCGCGTTCTTCCCCTCGGCCGATTCCTGTAAATGGCCAAGAGTGGCCCCTCAACAAGACACTGCAGTCCTAGATGTCTGTTCACAGTGTCCTTCCCCTGCCCTTTTCATACTCCCTTCCACCCCCTCCTCCGCCTCCCAGGGTGGACTCCCTCGCTCATGATTGGTTGGGACGTTCACTTGTGTGAGAGGCCTCGACTGGCGACCAGCTGGGCCAGTCAGTTCAGCATGTGATTCCAGGACATGTAGACCCTGGGGTCACCTGAGCTCACAAAACTGTCCCCAGAGCCTGTGAAACCTAGAGCTCCCTCAGCCAGGAGGGTGGGCCCAAGCGGGTAGAAGGGAGACCTGGCTGAGTGCTGGGAGCTGCCCTAGCTCTAAGGCTAATTAGAACAGCTGATGTTTACAAATGCAATTATAAAATCATATTATAATAATTTCCATAATAAGCCATTAAGTGTTTATTGAGCAGTTACTACGTGCCAGGCACTCTGCCAGCTGTTTAACATGGGTTATTTCTTTTCCTCGTTATAACAGCCCCAAATGGTGAATGTTTTGATGATCCCCATTCTAGAGATGTGGGACCTTGAAAGACTTTAGGGAAAAATGGGCCAGGCCCCTGTTGATTGCTGGGCATGACATCCACTTTACAGAGAAGGAAACTGAGGCTGAGAGAGAATCAGGGTCCCAGACAGTCACGTGGGGCCAGATCCCTGGGGTGAAGACCTCTGCGCGAGAGGGAACGCGACAGCAGGAAGGCCAGAACAACTGGCCACGATGTCCTCATGGGTCTGAGACTTGGCCCGTGTGAGACAGATTCAGAAACACATTCCCAGCAGGCTGGAGTTGCCCAGAAAACATCCCAAGAAAAACAGCCTGGGCTGGTGGATAGAGCCCTGCACACGACCAGGGTGGAACCCCAGCTCTGGCATCTGTAACTCACTGTGTTATCCAGGACAAGCCCCTTCCTGCTCCAGCCGGCCTCAGTTTCCCCACCTGTGAACTATGGAGGCGGAACTCTGGCCATCAAGGGCTGTGGAGCTCACCTGAGACTGGCTGAGGCCAGAATGCCTGAATCCGTTTCCCTGGGAGCCGGGGCCTGTGTCCTGCTCCTGGCCAGCACGCTCAGGGAACATTTGCTCTCCTGACCAGCGGACGGCCCGTCCCTCCTCTGCCCTCAGCCCCTTGCCATCCCCAAAGCAAACGAAGCTGATTGTCTTAGCTGGCCCTGTGGGTGCTGGCCAGCCGGCCGGCCGCAGGCCACAGGCGGAGGTGCCACCCGCCAGAGCCCCACCAGACACACAGGGCATTGTCCCTCAGTCAACAGCCCCTGGGCACCTCGGCCGGTTCCTGGCCTGCCCCCACGGCCCTCACCGCCTGCCGCTGCGCCAGGCCCAACCAGCTGGGGGCCCAAGGCTCCCAGCAGAGGACGAGCCCACCCACCCCCGGCAGCCCCCTGATGAGCTATAATTGCTTCGCTCCATCCTGTTGCTGCCATTCTCTTGGTGGAGGCATCTGGGGTTCCAGGCGGGCGGCAGCTGCAGGCTGACCGCCTGGCTCGTCGGGATGGACTGGCTGTACAACCTGGTACGTGGCGCTTCCCCGCCCCACCCCCACCCCGCTTTAGGGCCCGAGTGTTTCGGTACTTCTTTTCTATTGATTAATGTCTGCCTCTGTTTGGCTTGGAACTTGCAGAGTTCTCCCTCTGTCCTCTCCCCCAGGACTAGAGAGAAACAGACTGGTCTCACAGACTGCAGCCATGGCCAGTAGCTCAGGCCTCTGAATGGGGCTCGGCCTGTCCACACTGAAGCCCTTTCAGGCCCAAGGCATCTGGGGAGATCCTGGCAAACTCAGTTATCGGGGTTTTTCCAAAGAGTCCTTGGGTCCGGAGAGCCAGGCTGCGTGACCTTGGGCAAGTCCTTCGGTGCCTCTGTTTCCCATCTGCAACACGAGGGAAGGGGGACTTCGATTCTATTCTGGGTTTCTCTGAATGAAGGACTGGAGTTTAAGAACACCAGGTGAGAAACTGAGATAAGACAGCCTATTGTTAGGAAGACAGTTTTCTGCACCAGGATCTAGGACCAAAAAGGAAGAACCTAGTGCCTTGAATTTCTGTCATGGATTTTGCTCCAGGACATGGCTCTGTCAAGAGGGACTGTGCTGGAACTTGTTTCCGAGGGTCACGACTTGCTGGGGAACCTGCATATGTCAGGCATGGGCCATGCAAACCGCGGGGTGAGGGACACAGGGCAGGTAGGGGCCTGGCTGGGTTTGGGGAAGAAATGAAATCTCCCCGAAGGTCGCTCCCATCCTGCCAGTCTTGGCCACCATCCAAGTCCTGGTCTTTCTCTCACCGGCTTCCTGAGAACTGTGGGTCCTCTCCGGTGTGGGCCAGAGGCTCTCCTGACACTCCCGGTTCTAAGGGCAAAAGTGGACGGTGGCAGGTGAGGGTGGATACAAGTGGGCGAGGGGAGTCTGAGGGGTGGGGCAGGCAGAGGGTTAGGGGCGCAGGAGGAGAGCACAGGCGTCATGGCGTCCAACTGAGACCCTTGGCCTCCATCTGCCCGTCTCCCCAGCTTCATCTCACGCCCCCTCCCCCCACACACTCCACTTCAGCCTGTTTCCTTTCAGCAAAGCTCTTAACCAACTCAAATCTCTGACACCCATTCCCATCTGCCTCCCTCTCATCCTTCAAACTTCACCTAACATGCCCGCACCTCAGGAAGGCTTTGCGGGACCCCTACACTGCCACCTGGCTACGCGGGTGGCCCTGTTCTTCTCTAACCACACATTGCATGGTCCCACCATCGCTCCTGTCTCTAGTGTGAGTTAGGTGTTTGTTTTCTTGTTCAGCCTCTGTCCTTTCTCCCAGGCTGTAAGCTACCGAAGACAGGGACAGTGACAGCCGTTCATTCACTCAGACACGGGGGGTAAGACAGTGTGTAGAAACTGACATAATGCCTGACCTCACAGAGTCTGCGCTTAGCAGGGGACAGATGCAGAAAAGAATCACGTATACAGACTATAAGACGGTAGTCATGTGAGCAAGCAGCGTGTGGTCTTGAGAGCCCAAGAAGGCCCGCCAAGGCACCCTAAGGAAGTGACCCTGGAGGGGTGAGAAGCATGTAGAAGGTGGGGAGAGGCAGGCCTCTGCAGGTGGTAGCCCGTGCCAAGTCCCTGTGGCAGGAAGGAGCATGGCGAGAGGAAGGAATTGAGAGCCGGCCAGAGGCTGAAGCGTGGATGTGAGGGGAAGCCCAAGCCCAGGAAGGTGACTTTGTTAGATTTGCATTTCAAACAGCCCTGGGTGGAGAACTGATTGGAAGGAGACAGGAGGGATTTGGGGAGACTGTTGAGCTGTCCAGGGAAGTGAGGAGGGTGGTGCAGAGAGAGGAGTGAATGGGTGGGGAGATTTTTATTTCAAGGGAGGAAAAAGAAGGCTTTATTTACAGATAATAATATTTAGGAAAGATCCATCCTTGGCCCTTCAAAATCTTTCATTAATTCAAATGGGTGGGGAGATTATTAGAAGTTGCAACAGACAGGACTAGGCAATGAGTGTGACGCATAAAAGTGTTGGTGCAGATGTGCAGTGGGCTGGTGGGACCAGGACAGGGCAAGGCGGGTACGAGCCACCCCATCAGGCCTTTTCTAGTCCCTCTCCTCTCTGGGCACCGAATCTTGGCCCACAGGGAGTCCTGGCTCTCTCACCTTTGACCTGTGACCTTCCTTCTCAGCTGTTTCTTCTCACCATCTCCATCTTCCTGGGGCTGGGCCAGCCCAGGAACCCCAAAAGCAAGAGGAAGGGGCAAGGGCGGCCTGGGCCCCTGGCCCCTGGGCCTCATCAAGTGCCACTGGACCTGGTATCGCGGGCGAAGCCATATGCCCGCATGGAGGAATACGAGAGAAACCTTGGGGAGATGGTGGCCCAGCTGAGGAACAGCTCCGAGCCAGTGAGGAGGAAGTGTGAGGTCAACCTGCAGCTGTGGCTGTCCAACAAGAGAAGCCTGTCACCATGGGGCTACAGGTAGGCCAGGCTGGGTAGCCGTGGGCAAGCTGCACTGCATGTTGAGGGTGCGGGGGTGGGGGTGGGGGAAACACCTTGCTCACTGTCCCTGTCATTATAAGAATTAAGACCTTGGATGCAGAGGGCTGAGTTCTTGGGACGGAATCTGGGCTCTGCTTCTTACTCGCTGTGTGGCTTTGGGCAAGTTGCTTAGCCTCTCTGGAAAGAGACACCCATGCAGAACACTATTGTATTGTTATTGTTTTCTAAGTCCCCACTGCAGTGCCTGCAGGCCTTCCTGGAATGTCACTTTCTCCAGCTTGGGGTGTCTTGTATGCACCTCTCAGTTACAGCACTTCCAGGTGGTCTTGAGTTGACTGTGTCCTTACTGGTCTCACGTTAGACCTTCCCAATGCCTGCATTAGGATCATCTATAGATCCTCATGCTCCATCCAGTTGAAACCTCCAGGGCTGAGGCCCAGAAAGTGGGATTTTATACATCGTCCCGTGATCAGGATGCACAGCGAGGTTTGGGAATCACAACCCGCTGACCCTAGATGGCAGGGGTGGGGTCTTACCTTGGTTTGCAGCTCCACATCCTAGCACGGCACCTAGCACACAGAAGGGGCCACATGTACATGTGTCGAATGAATAATGAAGAAATAGACTAACCCTGAAGGGTCCTCACTCACAAACCCAGGCTACACAACTGATGTCCTGAGACTCCAGAGTAACATGTTCATTAGGACTTTCTGTGATGATGTAAAGTCCAACTAGCGTCACGTGGCTAGTGGCCGCCATACCTGCAATGTGGCAATTGGAACGGTTCCTAACGATCCTCTAAAGCCAGACCTCTCACTTTACTGTGTCCTTGACTTTCTTGGGTATCTTATAAAATTGCAGGTTCTCACTCGAGAGGTTGGGGAGGAAGAGATTCCGCATTTCTAACAAGTTCCCAGGCGATCCTGATGCTGCAGGTCCACAGGTCAAGGTCACTCCCCACATTTTGCAGATGAGGAAACTAAGGCACAGTGAAGTCAAGGTCACAACTTAAGTCCCTATACTGTCAGCTGTAGGAGGAAACTCCTCTGCATTGTCCATCAGTGAACCCCTAATATCAAGGACATTACTCACGTGGCGCATGTGTGAAAAATATTTGTTGCATGAATAGAACCTAAGTTAGAATAGACCTCAGGCCTCCTGACTCTTCTTCCAGTGGGAATTAGGCATAAATGTCCTATGTTACTTCCTGCAGATTAACTTTCTCAAAACTATGAACAAGGGGGAGGGATGGAGGAGACAGAGGGGCCTTAGCTTCTTTGTGACCCCACCGCATCATGTAGTATTAGGATAGGAATCTTGCTGAATGAAAGAAGAAAACTATGTGACTGACTGGTGACCTTGAACCTGCATAACCTTGGGGCGCCTGACTGGCCTTCCAAGATTTCGTCTCACCTGGAACACAGAGTTGATTACTGCCCTTCCTATGGCATAGCGCAACCTTGCTGTGGGAAGGAAAACCCAGGGTTAGGAAGACCAGGGGCATGGTGCATGGGCTCCAGTTTGCTCCCTCAGCCCTGTTCTCTCCTGCTGTCCTGCAGCATCAACCACGACCCCAGCCGCATCCCTGCGGACCTGCCAGAGGCGCGGTGCCTGTGTCTGGGCTGCGTGAACCCCTTCACCATGCAGGAGGACCGCAGCATGGTGAGCGTGCCCGTGTTCAGCCAGGTGCCTGTGCGCCGCCGCCTCTGCCCGCTGCCACCACGCACCGGGCCCTGCCGCCAGCGCGCGGTCATGGAGACCATCGCCGTGGGCTGCACCTGCATCTTCTGAACCGCCCAGGCCCAGAGCCTGCAGGCACCTCGAGACCGTCCTCCTTGCACCCCTACACCACCAAGGCCAATGAAAAGTAAAAGCCGTCTTTCTAAAGCAAGACCTTGGCTTTGCTCCTTGTGGCTCTGAAGCCAAAGCCCGGGTTGGGGTAGGAGGTTCTGGGGAGGTAGATTTCAGATCAATATAAAGGAGGGTTTTCCATCCTTCAGAGCTCTCCAACACGGAAATAGATTATTGAAAAATTACTGCATTTATTTCTACCATTGAGGACAGTCACATACTTCCTTTAATTTGAGTTATAAACCTACTTCAGCCATGCTATTGGAGCTCGGTTGGCATAAACTTATGTAGGAGTGACCAAGCATTAAGTCTCCCCAGCTAAGGCCAGGACCACTGCAAACAATCTCTTTGGAAGCAAGGTTTCTTTGGAACCCCCACCCCCCATCTCTGGAAGGGTCCAGCTAAGGCTGAGCCTCTCAGGACATTGTGGAGCAGATTCCTGCCCTGGGTGGAATAAGGCCTTTTTCAACTCAGGTCAGCCTCTGCAGGTCAGCCTTAGGCCAGGGAAGAGCTTCCAGGTTGCCAAAGAGCAGGGGTTTCTAACCTGGGTCAGCGAGCCCCTGAACTCTTCACATGGGAATGCATTTTTTGGGGGCTGGGGATCTCTGGCTTTGAACAAACACCGGAGTTGAGAAGCAGCAACATAGATCATTCTTTCATCCAGCCTTATCCACAAGGGGATCTGGTTAGATGGTTTGCTGACATCGCTGGTTCTCAAACTTTAGACAGCACCGGAATCACCCAGAGGGCTTGTTAGAACACAGATGGCCGGCCCCTCACGGAGTGATTCCGATTCAGCAGGTCCCAGGTGGGAGCTGAAACTCGCATTTCTGATGCAGTGCTTCCTGATGCTGGCCTGGAGACCGTGCTTCGAGGACCACTGGCTCATATCAAGACACTCTGCTGATCAAAAAGGCACAGTGGATTGATTTGTCCTAAAGCTTCTCCTGGCTCCTTGCCCCCTAGATACTAATTCCCACCCCTCCATCAGCCCCTTGCAATTCGATCCCCCCCTTGCCCTCCTAGCCCCTGCAACAAATCCTAAATCAGCTGCTCTTAGATCTAAAAATACCCTCCCACCCCCAGGACAGCTGAGGGGGCTCCGGCTATTTTCCGAGGGTAAGAATAGCTGGCACGTTAGAGTTAATTTCAATAAGAGGGCCATCAGCCAGTATAGAAATATTTGGCTGCTTTCACTTCAATGCTTAAAGCAGCTTTAGCTGTGAATGTATTAATGCTCTATAATTCATGAAAGGGCACTGGTTAGGTATGTGTCTGTCTGGGGTGGTAAGTAACTTACCTTTTTTGGTATTGTTCTAGAGTGGATACTGGTTAAAATTACCCCAGGAAGCTTCGGCCTGGCTCCAGACACATGGAAAATAGATTTCTTGTGCCAGCCCAAGCTGATGCTTTCAGCAGCCGTGTCTCCTCCCTGGCGGTTGCTTGTCTCTGAGGTCCCCATGGCCTGCTCTTCAGGCCTTAAGACTTCAGCTGCACAGGAGGGACCCATGCCCCTAAGGCCTTTTTGTGGGGTGAGGGTGAGGGAAGATTTGAGTGGCAGGAGGGTCGCTCTAGTCCTGGGAAAGGGCCCCCGGTGTCCTGGGGCATGGGGGCTGGGTGTGGAAATGCCTCACCTGGTGGGACTCCAACCAGAGCATCTGACACACAGAGGTCTTCCATAAATGCCAGGGAGCTTAGTAGTTTTAGATGGATATTGTCTTCTCCTCTTTCCGGGCTTCAGTTTTCTCATCTGTGAAATGAGTCCTTAGGTCTCTCCAGAGTCCTTTGCAGTTTTATCATGCTGTGACTCAGGAGCTTGCTCTCCTGAGCCTGGGCTGCCAGCTGGCCCTTCCCAGTCCCCTGGTTGGAAGGCAGCAGCAGGGAGCTCAGGACCTTTGGAGGAGAGGCCTGCACCGTGCCGCTAATCTCTTTGGGTCTGAGTTCAAATGTGTTTCATGCTTTCCACTCACTGGTGAGAGTCCTCCACTCCATAAGAATAGGGGCCTCATCTGCCAACCCCAGCACCTGGCACACTGCCATGTGCAAAACAGGGGTGCAGGGCTTGGTGAATGAATGAAGGTATGCATTCACGCACAGACGCCTCAAGGGGAGCCCAAGACCTGTCCCTCACTCCCCCTGCTGCTCTTTCAAAGGTAGGTCAGGGGCAAGGCATTACTTCCTCCCCACCATTCCTCACCCACCCCCAACTCTACCCTCCACAGCCCTCCTCCCCCGAAAGAGTTGAAATCTTGCCTGAGTCACCTGCTCTAAGGACAAAGTTCCTTCAAGGAGTCCGAAACTGTGCATTACACCGCCCCCAGGACTGCTGAGAACATGAGGCCTCTTTCTTGTTTTGTTTGGCAGAATGTACGGCTCTCCCTGGCTTTGCAAATGCTCTGTCTTCTCCCAGAGGGCCATGCATCCTTGGGGGCTCCTAGCCTGAAGGCAAGGGTGGGCCTGAGGGCAGAGGCTTCCTGCTTGTTCTCATGCTCCTTTCCTCTGCCTTCAGGAATCTCTGCCCTTTTCTTGTAGGCAGGAAGGCAGTGAGATCCAGCTCTCAGGTTTGGACTTGGGGAAGCGGGCAGCAGGGGCATTTTGGCCTGGTTTGGTTCTGAGCTGTTCAGGCCTGTCTATCCAGACAAAGGAAGTTTCTGAAGAAGCAGCCAGCTCCATTGCAGTCAGGCTGGGACAGGGAGCCAGGGTGCCAGTTTTGGGGATCAAATGTAAATGCCCTGGTTTGTTTCCTCCATGCACATCCTTAGGGATGCAAGAGATGGGTGGTTATCAGGGGGCAGTTTGGTATTGGTCTTGGCCCTCCGGCCCAATAGCAATGATGATCAGTTATACCATGATAGCCTGGGGTATCTTCATTTTAAATACAAACCATGAAAAGATGCCATTACACATTGATTCACCAGACTTAAAAGGAACGAGAGGGCACAGCCCCGTTTTACCTGTGGTTGATGTTGTGCTTCTCTCTACCACGTTTTCTACCCCTCCAACCTTATAGTTTGGACGAGATCACTTCTGCTCCAGGGGTGGGGCCTGACTGTTCTAAGCCAATCAGCTTCATCTCATCCCTGGTCCCAGCTGAGTCCTAAGGCAATCAGCATGTGGCATTCACTTGGCCAGAGTAATTGGTTTGGCCAGGCGCAACTGGCCCAGGGCCCAGACTGTGGTTCAGAGGTCGTGAGAGAAGACCCTCTCACTCTGCGAGCTGTTGGCAGCCATCCTTGACCATGAAAGAAGTAATGACGCTGGCATTGCGCAGGACCCTGAGCCCGGACTGTTATGATAATCAGTAACACCCTTTTATTGCTTAAGCCAGTCTGGAGTCTGGTTTTCTACTCCGTCAACCAAAAGCATCTTACCTACATGTCAACTTCATAATTCCTGTAATAACCAAGAGTGTGCTTCTCCCACTTGAAAGGCACCATCTCTTTCACGACCACCACCATCATCTTGGCCTGGAATTCATGTAACTTTAAGAAGCTTCAGATGTAAGCTCTGTTCTATGAATTCACCGAGAGACCTTGGGAAAGTTATTTTGTCATTTTGGGCTTTTATCTCCATCTCCTCAAAAAAAGGGAAGTTAGCTGGTTGACCTCGGGCATTGCTCCTGCTGGGAAAGCCCCACTAGCAGTGTCATTTGGCAGTGTCTGCCCTCCTGGGCCCAACCCCAGAGCTGGACTTGGCAGGTCTGAGTGGGATTTGGGCCTCCAGTCAGGTTAACTGCTGAACTCCATCCCAATACCTTTTCCCTTAGGCCACTGGGGTCAATGTTTGGGGGGCAGGCATGACTGCCCTCTACAATCTGGGGACTTGTCTCCTTGTAGGACACATCAGCGCTATACTTTTCATCCCCTGCATAAAGGACAGAGTAGTCAATTCCTCCAAGTGCCAAGGAAGTATTTTTCTTCCTGTGGCCTGGTGTGTTTCCCATTTTCCACCGGCTGCCAGGAAGCTCAGAGCTACGCTGAGAGCCCCGCTGGGGTAACCACCTCTTGCTTGGCTCCTGCCACAGTCGTCTCCCCCAATATGTGGTGTTGCTGAAAGGCTTGGATGGTGTCTAATTTCTTAACTAGGTACCTCACATCCAACGAGCCCTCCATAATTGGGAGCTATTATCATGCCTTGTTTTCTGATTTTCCCTTCTACTTTATTTGTAATTATCTGGTTACATGTGTTATTGTTGGTGTTGCCACAGGTACATTTTGGGAGTAGGCAGTAAAAACAATAAAGAAACTGGATTCCCAGGTCTCTGTCTTATATGCCCTCCCATTGTTATCCCTGTCTCCTAGTTAGAAAACCAAGTCAGAAGCAGCTGGAGAAGATGGATTTTTATTTCTTCTTTTAAAAAAATAAATAAAATGAATACACTGGTTTGAGTTTCCATCCCTTCTCTTACTCTCTCCCTTGGAACAACCACTCTGAGAATTCTTAAGACAGAGAGGCAGAGCATAGGCTGCCTGGCCCCATGCTGGAGAGAGAAGACACTCGACAGAGGAGGGGCCAGAAGGAGGCCTGGCAGGTGAGTGTGGCTTGCACAGCCTTGGCTGCTGAGGGGGTGGTCCATCTTCAGTGGAGGATGACGTTCCCAGGGTCTCTCTGGAGCCTCACAGTTCAGTCTTCACCTTGTGCATCAAATCCTTTTGGTCAATTTTGTCTAGGTCCTGGTACCAGCGGTTGTAAGCCAGCAGGGCCACGTTCTTGGCAGCTACGGCCATGACCTCCACAGAGCTGGCTGCCCACTCCAGGGCATTGAGGTGGAAGAGCTGGTCATGGAGCGCAAACCGAGGGAGGGTGGTGCGGGAGCCGTGCACGGGGTGGGCCTGCCACTCGGCTGTCTGCACTGAGTAATAGGAGCGGAAGAGGGTCTTCAGCTGGGACCGAAGGAGGGGCTCAGGGGACTGGACTCGCCAAACAGCTGCCTCCTGAGGCTGCTTCCGCCGGAAGTTGGTTGAGATGTTG